ACTTTGAACTTTCAGTGTGGCCCCCTTGTGAGTGAGTACCCCCAACCAATTCAGATGAGGTGTCTAAGTGCTGCCCCTTGAGTCAGAGTCAGCAGTCTACACTTGGGACTCCTCAGGGACTTTGTGGCTCTGCTCCCATTGCTGGTCTGTTGCACTTCCCTCTTTGTCCCCATGTGGGTGGGTCAGACCATCCGCTCTCCCAAAACTGTTTATCTTCATTGGTGTGGAAGGGGACTGGACTGGCTCTGCAGTCCTCTCCATGAACGAGCTCCTCTGAGCAGGAATGTTACCCTCAAGGGTTGGTACACTGAAACATCATTTAGTTTGGTCTGGCTCATGCCAGAGTTATCTGATCCCCAGCCCAGGAACTGCATATTTCCCTTATGCCCGATCTATTGGTTGAACTTACCTCAGTGAACTCATGTTGTGGATAATGTTGATGGATTTTTCTGATGTTGAACCATCCTTGCATCCCTGGTAGGAATCCTATGAAGCCATCTGTTCCGTGACTTTTTTTAATTAGTAGTTCTTTGATAACCTGTGTCTGGGTTCCCTTACTTGGCCTCCTTACCAGTTGTTCACAGGAAGAGAGGTCTAAGTAACATGCTCTCTTTCAGCACCATCATCCCGGAAGCCATCTGTACACACACATTTTTTTTTTTTTCTGTACACACACATTTACCTGACATTTGTTTTCATACCATTCAGATTGACTACTTTGAGAGAGCTAAACGTTTGGAAGAAATCCCCTTGATAAAGAGTGCATATGAAGAGCAGAGAATTAAAGACATGGATCTATGGGAACAACAAGAAGAAGAAAGAGTAAGTTGTTAATTTAGTATTTGTAGATTGTAAGTTTTTTGCCATGTCACTAAGGGGACTGGAGCTTCAAAGTTCAGTTCCTATTCTCTTGCTCACACGGTGCTTCAGTAACTTAGCTTGTAGATGGGTGGAGGCATCATGTTTCAGAGTGATTAAAACTGAAGCTGGGTAATACAGGGACACCCTGACAACTCATTTGAAAGCAGTTTTGGTGAACTGTGATTCATGTGCCATGCAACTCACCATTTAAAGTGTACAATTCATGCATTTTTAGTATATGCACAAAGTTACTCACCCCTCCTGTAGTTTTCAGGCAGTTTTATCACCCAAGAAGAAACTCCTTATCTGTGGTGACCCCCACCTCCCTCCCCTCAGCACTAGGCAGTCACTGATAGATTTTTTGACCCTAGTTTTTCAGTGTGGGGTATTCATTCCATTTAGTGGAATCCTGCAGTGTTGCTCTGGGCGACGCTATGAGTTTTGTTAGTCTATGTTAACTTTTACTTAGTGAATCTAAAGCAGGGTTTGCATATGCCTGCAAACTGAGTATATGGGGGAGGGTGTGAAGGGATTTTGTAACAATGTGAGAGCTGTCCTCTAAACACACGGGCTGAGGAGACTAGTGACATTCTAGGATCTTGACATGGAAAATGCCTTTGGTTCTACCAGATTGTTACCATTCAGGGAACTTGGAACAGGAAGTGTTGTCTGGTCGTCTGATTTTTAAAGATAAGTGTTTTGTAATGACTTAATATCTAAGGACTGGAAACTAGTCTGAGGGATAAATGTGCGGGCCTTATTGCTGCCGTTTTGGCCCTGATGTTTGTTGTTTCGACCCTTGAGCCCACAGTAAATGCCTCCTGCCTCACCTTCCAGGTGCTTTTAAGAAAGAAAAAATGCATTTCTTTAACCATTTTCTTACCAAGTGGTTTGATCCTGGGGTGGCACACACAGTTTGTACTTGATTGTGAACTTGAGGAGGTTAGTGTTTCAGACCCACCCAGTACTGTCCCAGAAGATAAGGCTTGTTGATTGATTACAAAGCCAGGAAACCCGCATGGGGCAATTCCACTTGTAAGCAAACCGGATGGTGTTCAGTTTTCCCCGTACGTGTTAGAGTTGTTCCTTTGTAATTTCTGGAGCTGGGATCTCTGCTCACTGAAAAATTGACAGCCCACACCCACCAGCACTCCCTGGGAGGAAGACTGCAAGTCTGTGGCAGGAGTTACTGTAGCTTGCCGCTCGTGAGCAGACCAGCTCACGTCACACAGGGCTGGAGGCGGAAGGTTGGCCGAGGATTGAGGGGTCTGAGTAAAAACTGATTCTGACAGATACCCCACGGCTGATCTCCGCCTGCTTGTCTTCCTGGAGACTGCTTGGCTCAGAGCTTAGTCTCCTTTCTGTTTGTTGACTAAACAGCTGCTACTAACTCTTCAAGGATACGTATCATGAATTTATTCATATACGGTCAGATTAGTAATCCCAGTGAATGCTTTATAATGTGACATTGGGCCGTGTATCTGCAGATAACTACCATGCAGCTGGAGCGGGAGAAAGCTCTCGAACACAAGAACAGAATGTCCCGGATGCTCGACGACAGAGACTCCTTTGTGATGCGCCTCAAGGACGCCAGGCAGTCAGTGTATGAGGTAAGTGCCTGGCTTGAGGGATGCAAGGCATCATGGTCAAAGGCTAAATAGGCAATCATCAATTTTTTTCTTAGGTGTTGAAAGTATGTAGTCTATGGAAACCAATGTTGCTGTTTGGTTCAGAGAAAACTAATTTATAGAGTGTCTTGGCTTTAAATTTGCGTTAATCATCTAGGTTATTTTATATGAAAACACATAGAGATTGGTACTGTTGGTAATAATTTTTTTAATTGTATTATTGGGGGCTCATACAGCTCTAATCACAACCCATACATACATCCACATACATTAAGCACATTTGTACATTTGTTGCCATCATTTGTACATTTGTTGCCATCATCTTTCTACATGAGTCCTTGGTATTAGATCCTCATTTTACCCTCTCCCTCTCCCACCCTTCCTCTCTAACGAACCCTTGATAATAGCATAAATTATCATTTTTTCATGTCTTACACTGACAGATGCCTCCCTTCACCCACTTTTCTGTTGTCCATCCCCCAGGGAGGGGGTTTTATGTAGATCACCCTTTTTCCCTCCACCTTCCCTTTACCCTCCGGGTTTGGTTACTCTCATTGTTGGTTCTGAGGGATGTATCGGTCCGGGATTCCCTGTGTTTCCAACTCTTATCTGTACCATTGTATATGCTCTGGCTTAGCTGGATTTGTAAGGTAGAATTGGGATCATGATAGTGGGGGGAGGAAGCATTAAATAATTAGAAGAAAGTTGTATGTTTCATTGATGCTATACTGCACCTTGACTGGCTCATCTCTTCATTGTGACCCTTCTGTAAGGGTCACAATTGTGTACAGATGGGCTTTGGGTGGGTCTCTACCCTGCAATCCCCCTCACTCACATTGATAAGATTTTTTGTTTTGGGTCTTTGATGCCTGATTCCATCTACACTTCATGATCACACAGGCTGATGTGCTTCTTCCATGTGGGCTTTGTTGCTTCTGCTAATAATCTCAAGAGACTGGCACGCCAGAAAATGTTTGACATTTGGGATTTCTTTTGTTTTTTTTACTAAAAGGTTTCTTTCTGGTATTTTGAACAGTACTTATAAATGTTAAGTTTACAATTAATTTTTAGCTCTTGAAAAACAATGATTTGGGGGGGGGCTTCAATCAATTGTAGGAGAAACTTAAACAGTTTGAAGAGCGGCTAGCAAAAGAAAGATATAATCGCTTGGAAGAACGTAAAAGGCAAAGGAAAGAAGAGCGCAGAGTCACCTACTACAGAGAAAAGGAGGAGGAGGAGCAGAGGAGGGCCGAGGAGCAGATGCTCAAAGGTACCAGGCTGTGGACTGAGACAGGAAGTGGGGGAGGGCTGGCGGGAGGTTTAGCTGAGGGCACTTTAGAAAGGTAATTGACTTCCTAATGAACTCTCCCTGAGTTCTCTGAAATTGGGATAAGGAGCGTCCTCAGTCAGTTCTGTGAAGTCCTCTGTCAGCCAGCTTTCATTTCTAGGATGCTGTCTCACAACAGGCTGCATTTTATTCATCCATGTGAAGTAATGTTTTGTTCAGTGTCTTCTGCCAGTTGGCTCTTAACGTTTTCTTAGGAGTTTACTTGTGTACAGTGCTGCCCGTGTGATCCCTGGAAAGTGGGCAAGCTATAGGGAAAAGGCCTGGTATTCGGCCTGCTTCCTAATCTGTTCAATGCTCTAGAGCGCGAAGAGAGAGAGCAGGCAGAGCGGGCGAAGCGCGAGGAGGAGATGCGTGAATATCAGGAGCATGTCAAGAAGTTAGAAGAAGTAGAGAGGAAGAAACGCCAGAGAGAGCTGGAGATTGAGGAGCGAGAACGGCGTCGAGAGGAGGAGAGAAGACTGGGCGATGATCCGCTTTCTAGAAAGGTAAGTGCAAGAGCCGTTGTATTTATTGTGTTCATTTATTGTGTGTTGTATGTATTATGTACTGTGAGTTTCTGTGCATGGGGCAGTGCACGCTGGGTTGTTAACCAAAAGGTCAGCAGTTAGAAAACACTGACGATGATGAGAAAGTTAAACCTTTCACAGTCGGAAACCCACAGGGTGTTGGGTAGGCAGTTCTACTCTGTTTCATGGGGTTGCTGTGAGTCAGAATTGACTCACTCGATGGCAGTAGGGTATTTTCTTCGTTATTTTTGGATTATTAGTTGGTCTGCCTCTCAAAGATGAGGATTCATAAGCAAAAGCTGGGCAGACCGGGGTTTTTACAGGTTTTGGATTACTTGTCCGTAAGCATGCCCCTGTTACTGCCTTTTGTCTTTAGGAAAATTAATGTTTTTCTCAACACAGTTTAAAATTTTTCTGTTGTTATAGTGGTTACGTATAATCCACCCCAGCTCCCTGCCTGCCCCTTTACAAACACAGAAACCACGCTGGTCTCTGTTGTTGGGTTCTCTTGGGATTGGCTGGGTAGCTTTTGCCTGTGGGTGAACTCTGTATCTGACTGAGAGCCCGCTTAACAGTTGTTTTTGAGCTTTACAAACGTTACTTATTAGAAAAAAATATCTATGTTGTGTCACATTTTTCTCCTTTTCAGGTGAATTCTCTATCTTCTTGCTCTACAAAAACTTCCTTGTGTTTTCCTCAAAAGTTTTTCTTTCACAGTTTAGCTGTTTAAAGTGGCTCCTCGAGAGCCCTTACTCACCTGCATATGCCCTTGGGCCACCTGGTAGCTGCACCCCAAGGGTCTCACATTGCCAGCCCTGCCTTCTCACAGAGGGTGGCTGTTGTGCCCCTCCCCACACCCTGTCTATGGATTTTAACAGTTGTATCTTAGGAGGTTGGGTCATGAGCATTTTGGGACTGCTTGGCTCTTTTCACATACTCTGCAAAGGGAACTTTCAGTCAAAATCCGTGAATTCCAAAATGCTGATTTCACTTCTGTCTGTTCGGGAATTAAAACCGCTTTTTGGTAATAGCAGCTCATAATTAAAGTGTCGCCAGTGCATTGCTTCTCGCTAATAACTCTGGTCCCTGTAGGATTCTCGCTGGGGCGAGTCGGAGAGCACATGGAGAAAGGGCTCGGAGGGGGAGTCTGAGTGGCGTCGAGGTCCTCCTGAGAAGTGAGTGTTCTATCTTGTTTTGGATGTTTTATTCACGTGGGGTTCTGTAATGTTTCTCCTGTTACATGTGATTTAATTTACTTAGCTCACTCTTTACAGAGTTGGTCCAAGATGTAGGGAGCTGCTATAAAAATTTTTTGGCTTTTAACATTTATTCTCAACACCCAGGAGACTAGAATTCTGGACAGAGGGTACTAGCGCTAGAGAAAAGCTGTCTTTTCAGAGGCTCTGGGGAAAAGGCCCATGTAACCTCCCAGCGCCTATGGGTCCAGTGCTCTTCTTGTGCATTGGTGTCCGGTGTCTAGGAATTTTGCCTGCAAGGCCCCAGCTCCCAGGCCTGCACTCCAGCCTGCCTCATCTTTCTTGGTAGCCGGTCATTGCTTTGTGGCTGGCCCAAAGCCCATTGTATGGTGACAGCATGTCTCAGTTACCTGGGCATCCTTATGGGATGGGCACTTGAGTAGGCTTCCACCTTTGAGCTATTGAAATAGTGTCCACTTTATTTTGTTTTTATGTTGCGCTTGCTTTTAAGAACCTGCTGTTTAGCCAGCAGTAGGTCCTGTCCAAGAACTCGTTTTTCTGGTGTTTGTTCTTACATGTGGGTTTTTGCTGCATGTTGAGGGAATGCTGGTCTATAAGTTCAGCTCCTTTTCTGTATGTGGAAGGTGAGCCTGACACCCATTGACTGAATCTGTCCCATTGGTTGGACTTGGCTTCCTTGTCAAAAATCTCGACCCCAAGTTTGTGGAGTGTTTCTCAGAAATGAGTAAAATGAAAAATAATTCTCATGAGGATGGGCGGGCTCTTTTGATTCACCTGTGACCATGTTGGCTTTTGCTCTGCAGGGAGTGGAGACGGGAGGCACGGGATGAGGAACGGGCCGTGCGGCGGGATGAAGACCAGCCACGGCGGCTGGGCGACGAGGAGGAGAGAGAGTCCCCGCCCAGACCTGAGGAGGACCGGCTTCCTCGGCGGAGTGTGGAGGATGAGAGGGGCCTTCGGCGGGGGCCTGAAGAAGATCGCTTCCCCCGCCGTGCGGCCAACGAGGACCGGCCTTCCTGGCGGACTGCAGAGGACGACAGGCCCCCCCGCCGCATCGGAGATGAAGATCGGCCCAGCTGGCGCTGCAGCGAGGATGACCGGCCCCCCAGACGTGGGCTGGATGAGGACAGAGGGACCTGGCGGACAGCGGATGAGGACAGAGGTCCAAGACGGGGGATGGATGAAGACCGGGGCCCAAGACGGGGGATGGATGAAGACCGGGGCCCAAGACGAGGAGGTGCTGACGACGAGAGGTCCTCTTGGCGCAATGCTGATGAGGATCGGGGTCCCAGGCGAGGCATGGACGAGGACCGAGGTCCTAGACGGAGCATGGATGAGGACCGCGGTCCCAGAAGGGGTATGGACGAGGACCGCGGTCCCAGGCGTGGGTTGGACGAGGACCGCGGTCCCAGGCGCGGGTTGGATGAGGACCGAGGACCTTGGAGGAATGCTGACGATGATAGAATTTCTCGGCGTGGGGCGGATGATGACAGGGGGCCTTGGCGAAACATGGATGATGACCGGCTCTCCAGGCGTGCTGATGATGACCGAATTCCCCGGCGGGGTGATGACTCCAGGCCTGGGCCCTGGAGGCCATTTGGGAAGCCAGGTACAGTGCTGAGAGCCGGGCTGCGTGTTTCGTAGAGCCTGCCGTGTGTGCTTACAGGTAGAAAGCAGAACGTTAATGCGCAGTGTTAGTAACGGGGAGGCACGGCCACTCATCACTGTCATCTAGCCCAGGGGTCAGCAAACTTGAGAGGGAAGAGCCAATCCTGCCCTTCATGGTAATTTAAAAGGGATTCGAGAGCCATAAATACACTTTCACAAACAAAATGAAATCACCATTATCTGAATACTATCCTTTAGAGGAAGCTAGGGTTGGTTTATTTTCATTTTCCATTTGGTCCATAAGGGGCTTGGGAGCCAGTTTGCCAGCCCCTGTTTTAGATGAAAACCGGGTTCCACATCCTGAATACCCTTACAGTGGCTTCTGTGTTAGAAGTGGT